GCTATCTCCTTACTTATCCTTAACTTTCTTCTTCAGACCTTCCCAGTCTGAAAGTCTGAGCAACCAAAACTACTCATTGCAAAGCACTTCCAAGGAAGAAGGAAATCATTCCATGTGGCATTGTTGTACCAGTGTGAAGACAAACTAATCTGGCTAGCACCTGGATGGGAAGTTTTCTGAGAGGTTTTGGCCACCTGCACAAGCCATAGAATTCTGATCAGTTAAATGGAAAACAGCTAAATGCCAAATAGTTACTGGGACCTTGGGCTGTGTTTATCGCAGATCAACCCAGCCAGCCGCAGAAGAGAGCTAGAGAGTTAGAAATAGGCTGGATGGAATAAGAAACAGATTCAGGTCCCAAAGGAAATAGGGCTTAGAAACTATGGAGAGGCCATTCTGGCCCCATCATCATTGCTGAACTGATGGAAGAGAATAAAAAACCCCAGATCATAGTGCATGAGCAAAGCACCACTGTTTTGCTGTTTACTGTAAATGAGTGTTTGGACATTTTGCTCGGAAGCTGGAAGAAGCCACAATGAAGCAGATAATTTCAGAGCATGCACACTGAGTAACGGGTAGAGAGACGATGCAAGTCAGTTGAAATATGAAGTCCAAACATTCCAGCTGCTGCTATCACATCCCCCAAATAGCAGACAAAGACACACTGCACATGCCTCCCTCAAACATACACAAAAATAATTTGCTTGAAAGTACAAACACAGACAGAAGCTTTAGTATATTTGTGAAGTCTTGCATGCAAAAGTGTCTGCACTGTGATGAACTGCAGACTCTTCTGTAAATCTCTCAACACCCTCTGCAGGACATTGCACCCTTTCAACTCTAAACCACTTTGGACTTTGACTTTTTTTATAAAGTCCAGAGACCTTCTGTATCTCTTCCATAAAATGCAGGAGGACCCCGAACCACCATGAATCGTTTTGTGGTAGAGACATTAACATTGGACCTGGGTAGCACACTGTGTGCATCTTTACATGCCTTCCTTTATGGACCTTCCTCTGGCCTTTGAGAGGGATGTGGGAGCAATGGACCATCTAAGCATCACTAACGGAGTACAACTAGAGTAGCAGGAGAGTCCTTTCCTTTTAAAAAATGTTACTTCTTGTACAACCTAGTGTGACCTCGGACTGTGTTTATCATAGGTTAACCCTGCCAGCTGTAGTGAGAGTTGTCTGGTGAGAGCTAGAGGTATTGTGGATAAAATAAAAAATGGCTCCAAACATTCGCCACAACCCACAAAATAGACTTGAAATCTTTCCCTCAGTTTGCAAAATTTAAGTCACTGATATCTACAGACTATTTTTAGAGCTGAATACGAGAAAAGGAAGCAAGAAAAATCATCAACAACAGGATGAAAATGATGGAAAATTATATCAGCTTAATTGGGATTTGTCACATTCAGAACTTAACATGAAGTTATAGCTTATATCCCTAAAAATATATTGGACTACCTAATCCATGGTGAAGTAGTCTCTCTATAGTCAAAGTTAAATTTGGACAACACAAAGGCCAATGAGAGTTTTTAAGATACCCTTAATAGAGCTAGAGTTACACCCTGATTTTTCTGAATTAAATACATGATTGTTGCCTTTTTACTATATTCTGTCAACTCCATTACTTCAAAAGTCTCTACAAAATGTCAAAGAACTTTGACCTTCTGGTCAGGTATTTGAAGTTTCATGAAGTATTCTGTAGACAGAATACCCCTATATAACGTTTTGTAGCTTGACTATACAGACACACACACAAACAGGCAGGAACACAAAATGCAAAATTTTCCCATTAATTTAGACTGTTTCCCTAGACAAATGTACTGAGGATACATTAATTTCTAGTTCCCATGAGATTAGGCAAATGTAAATAATGCCATTTTTTACTGAAAAGGATTGCACGCTTTGCCTTGCTCCTAGTCCAATATGGGGATTAACAAACAAAATAATAAAACCAGCAAAACTAATAAGGGACATTCAGCATTTCCATTTTGTTGGGTTGAGTGTAATTTGTGCCAAGCAATATTTTGAATTCTTCCCCAAACCTAGATGGTCTGATAGTCTGAATTCTTGCTCACACACACAAAATACTAGCACAATCACTTTCAGTCCAGCTGAGAATCAAGACAGGAAGGATTAAAGACCAACAGAGTCCAGACTCCAGGCAACAGGAAAAAATGCTGAGCAGAATCTGATTGGGAGGGGAGAGTAAATTTTGGACTCCCATCAGCTTTGGGTTCTGGGAGAACTTACTGGAAAAGTCAAAAATTAATTTTTTAGCAAAATGAAGGTATTTGCCCCTATATAAAACACAATCTCCTTTCCTCGCGAACACTGCTCACCATTTCCTGTAAATGCCCCCTTGCAAACTAGAGTTTCAAAGAGCACTGCATCTTTCTTTAATGCCTTGACCTGGCACAAAGTTCCCCATAAGCCAGAAGATAGAGGTGTATTCAGAGCACGGGCTTTGGGCAGACCGAAGACTTCTGCTTCATCTTCCAAGTCCCCCTCTTTCATCACGTCCTATCCCAATACATGGACAGTGTATAATAAGCTACAACTTAAGTTTCTTTGTTGCTGAAACTGACCTTTATCTTGCAGCCCTAATGAAGTCTTTTGATGTGCTCCTAAGATAACAACCTCCTTTTTAGCATTCTGTTTGCTGTGCCTGCTTTAACTGGTGGGCTTGCAAAGAATGTAAGTTTTCATACAATGCCTCCCTTGGGTGACAATTGTTCTTTTCTCCCATAGTTGCCCTTGAGTCATGCTGTCCTGAAACATCACCAGCCCAGAAGCATCTTGTCAGTGGGGAATCAGGACAACATGTCTTTCATGCCAACGATGAGTGCACCCGCTTGGCACCTGCATTTATGACCAACACTGATAGAAGAAGCAATACGGGAGCAGAGCAGGTGAGAAAAGATAAGGTCTGTGTGTGTTGGGGAGACAATTAGCTAAAATACAATGGGGAGGGAACCACTGGTGTGATGGATAATGTGGAATCAAACTGCCGGCAGAGCCCTTTGCAGTTCAAACCACCCCTCCTGAAAGCAGCTGCTCTTAGCAAAGGAGTTTGAAAACCCTTCCCAGAAAGCCAGGCATGTGTTCTCTATTAGTGATTTGCATTTAAAAAACAGGAAAAAAAAAAAGAGTGATTGGGAACTACATACCCCGTAGGCGCACTAAGCAAATTGGCCAGCCTAATTATTATTTTTCGGTATGTCTAATTAAATAGACAAAAGGCCCTCCCTTCACTCTCGCTATCGGCACGAGCTCCACTGGAATGTGCATAATGTCCCCTCATTTGCCCAGGCAGCTGAGCCTTTCCCTTTTCCCCTAGGAGATTGGCATTGACAACTGCTCATGGCTTACCCGCTCCTGCTCAGACACAGAGCCAGACCATCAGACGGGAAGAGAAGGAAGATAAATTGACCTGCTTCTATTAAAAACCACCAGACAATGCTGTATGATGTGACATGTCTTTGTTGCAGGTTAGAAACATGCCGTGGCCCTTGATAGCAGAACTTGCCATCGCAGAGCCCATCAAATACTTTCTACCCAGTGTTGGCCAAATTCCCTTGAATTTACTTTACAGGGACTCTAAAAGTGCAATATTTATCCCTGAGCTTTCTGGCATTTTTCCAGCACTCAGCTCTTCTCCTGCTCTGCAATTACATGGCACCACAGCCCTTCCTTAAAGAGCCTCTGATGACCTGCTGGTTTCACCACTCCGTAACACCAGCCCTTTAACTACAAGCTACGTACAAAGTCTTCCAATGACTTGAGTCACTGGAGAGTTTCAGCCTCACACTGATGCAGTCAAAGCCTCTGGAATCCAAAGCTTTCAACTGAAAAAAGAACACAATTTCAGTGCCTTTTGTCTGCGAGGCATTTTACTCCTTTTAAGTAGTTGTTGCTGGAGATTTCCACTAATGCCTGCACAAAGATAGTCATGCCATAAATGAGTAAGAGTTTACATCTATGGTGGAAATTAAAGAGTTTTCACACATTTAAGAGCCACATCATTACTAAATGACAAAATCTACTCCCACATTTATATCATGCAGAAGCACTAGTGGTTTTACTGCATATATGGGCAAAAGCCTCTCTATTTTTTCCAAAGAGATAGGGAGAGGAAGGAAGCACCATGTCATTATATATATATGTGTATATATATAAATGTACAGATATGAGAAAAAAAAAAAAAAAAGCAGAGTGGCAATTTATCCAGCATAACAGACCATCTCACATTTTCTCAGTGAGCTCTGTGTTTGATCTGACAAACAGGCCCCTATTAGAAGAGTACGGTGAAGTATCACCACATCAGTTCTGGTAGAAAACCTTTTACAGGAAACACCTTATCACTGGTGATCTATTGAACAGTCACTTAGCAAAGCCTTCCAAATCCACTGTGCAGGATGGAAAAGCAAAAGACCAGCTCCTGATTTCAGTTACACCAGTGCAAATCCTAAATAACTCCCTAGGACTGAGACAAGTCTTCAGTTTCAACAACAGGTTTATCCAGATAAGCTGATACAGGTGCAGAAAACTCTGCTACCTTAGAATCTGCTTTTTCCAAAGTAGAGTTGCTTCAGTCCAAGCAGAAACAGCATGGTCAGAGAAACCATAAAATATCTGCTTAATCCTAACCAAATTAAACACCTCTGCAGCTCAGCCCAACATTGGTCTGAAAACCTATATTGCCATCACTGCTGTTAAACTTTGTTAAGTCAGCGCCTGATGCTTCACTTCTTAACGAGGCAGTTATTTGTTTCCCAGGCAATCACTGGCACCTGCCTGCCTTTTAAAATCAAATAATAATTGAATATGAGGAAAGCGAGACGAAGTAAAGGAGATTTAATAAAGAGAATCTTTGCTGCAGAGGGAATTTCTTTGGCAGTGATTACGTTACTAATTGATCAGCACATTGCCTGAGAGAAGCCAGAGACAACAATTATACTTAGCACTGTGGCTGAAAGCAATGCAGTCAACTACCTCCTCGGCTTTCGCTGTCCGCTGGTTTCACCTGGATCGGCCTGTTCATCTGTAAGAAAGAGCAAAAAGAGACACATAATTAATCATGGAATCAAACATTAATATAGAGGCTTGTTATATTTTTTTACCATGAATCATAGTTAACAACAGAATTTACTCCATGAGGGGGGAAAAAAGGGCAATTAGTAAGCAAAGAAGTAACCACAGAGTACAGGCTGCTTCTTGGTCTGAGGTAAATTAGTGTCACCCCATTTACCTGACAGGGGCTCTGTTGAATCACATTGGGAGAGGAATCTGACTCACTTCACACAGGTCATGAATATTTAAACATAACTTTTTAAATTTCTAATAGTTTCCTCTGTAAACACTGCTGTGTAAGAAAAGAAATGCTTTGTCAGAACATCAGGACCAGTGAAACTTTAATTACAAAGATTTCTTGAGACTTGGTATGATGAAAAGAAAATGGAAAAGTGAATTCCACCTCCACTGTTAGATCAAGAGGATAGTTACCTATAACATAGCAGACTCCATTTCATAATTGGGGAATGGGATTTGGATCTGTTTTGTCCACATGCTGCAGGAGTGCCAGGTATTGAGACGGTGTGGTGGGGTGGTGGGGTGGTGTGTGTCAGAGGATAGGATATAATTCAAAATATCTCTCTCTGTTGCTTTTTCAAAGATCTTTTTCCTTTCTCACATCAGAACATAAGCATGTATAAAAACTTTGCCATTGTGCTGTGAATAGGATTTCTGTTCTCCAATTTACCCATCTCTCTCTCAGCAAAAGCATTGGGGAACATCATTATCCCCAGAGCTGGTGCCTTCCAGGAAAGAGGGCAATAGATGTCCACAGTCACCTTCACTGGTCATGCCTAACATGATATGGGTGTCTGATGAACAGGGGTGAGGATATGCCTCTCCTGTTGATAGCTGGAAGTGCAGATTGGATCAGAACCAGTTGAGATTTTAATCTGAAAAACCCTCCCTGCCTCTGCCTCTGTGTCAGTTAAAGTAATCCATACAATATGTAGATTGGCTATTCAAAATATCTATGTCTGACCAACCCTGAGTGGAATGAAACTATCCTTTAGATCTGGCAACCAGAGAAAGTTCTAGTTCAAGACATCACAAGGAATGGGAAGTCAGAAGGCAATGGGAATCTCCCAATCTATTGCTTCCCAATAAAGTCAGACCACAAACTGGTTGATGCATGTCACAGGGTGATACTGTCCATTCCTTATTTGTGGCTAATCACAGTCAGGCAGCAAGGCTGTTAGTTTTGTTTATTCTTTTTTTCCTATTTTTTTTTAAAGTAGTTCATAATCATTTAGATTTATTCTAATTGCTCTCCACACATATTTAGTAATAAAAAGTTATCAAGCTGGCTGACAAGTAGGTTAAGATGATGGAGAGCCTAGCAGATCCTGCTGCATTGTTGTCTCAAGAGGGAAATGTACTTAGCCATAAACTGACTACAGTTAGACTTGCACTCAGGAAGAGAAGGATCAATGGCTCCAGATGCTACTGAGCAATTTCTGCTCTCCTGTATGCCTGTATCATCCAACAAACTCCAGACAGCTGAAGTGCTAAAACCAACAAAGAATCTGGTACTGGACAAACCTTGTATCAGCCCCTGCTTCTACAACTGTAAAAACCTGTTGCTCACACATATATCACAAGATTTTAGGAGGGCTGGAGATGATATATTTAGCAGCAGCAGGATGGACATCCTGCCACAGGGCTCCTGTAACAACATGTGACCAGCTAGCTGTTAGACATTTAACGATCTGACATCACAGAGGTGAGGAAGCTAATTTATGTCATGTAACTCCAAATGTCTAAAAAGTGCAATTTTAAGCTACTCTTAAGATTGGTGTGTGAGATAAAAAGCATGAATTGTCTTCTGCAGTGCCTGTTCCTTTCCACTGATCATAAAGGTAGTTTATGCAGTTAGAGTTAGGTGAGATGAATGTCATCTTTGTTCTCATGTGCAGGATAATGAAGCCAAACCACCCAATTACTGTGCTTTAACTTCCCTCAGCTGCTCAACCACTGCAATTGGTTTGTGTTTACAGCAGGTTGGTGCTGACACCATCCATGTGCCAAGGTCTGACTTGAGAGCTCTTAACTTTTGACAGCTGCACTCACACTATGTATTCAGGGTTCCTGTGATTGCAGAATGTGATTGCAATGGCTAATTTAACTCCAGAGGAGGGTGGTCAGAGGTCCCTGGTGCTCACCTCATTTGTTGAGTTGGATGTGGTCAGTCTGCAAAAGGCAGAGATCATCAAACCCTTTACCAAAAATGAGAGGAGACTAATATTTTTTTGGGGGGTGGTTTTTTTTTGAGATTGGGGTATGAGAAAAAGAAAACAATGCCAAAAAAAAAAAAAAAAAAAAAAAAAAAATTATTGGGAGGTAATGAGCATTCAACAAAGGAAGAAAAAACTGAGGACATTAATAAGTAAAAGGCTAGTGTAATTCAATGTACACTATGATTTATATACTTGACAATTTCTTTATAGACCAAAGAGAAAGTGCTGCCTGCACGGAGCCCATAATACAAATTGAGATCATCTTGACTTGAAAGACACCAATTATAGGGAGAAACACTAAGAGGAAAATAATTGAGTTTCCTCTCTTCTTCTATGGAATTTTTTATTTTTTTTAAACAGACATTCTGTGAGTAAGGGACTAGCATGGGGAGGAGAAAAGGGCTAAGTGGGGGTAAAAAATGGCAGAAAGATGCACCTTCCTCAGTCTGGGGACATGCCTTCTTGGAAAGAAGGGAATTCATAGGTTCAAGTTCTCTGTTTATTATTATCTGGGAATTGTCATGGGTTTAATGTAAGGAAACCAAAGATTATACTCCAAACTGCAGTCTGCTGAACAACAGTCGTGAGACTATTGATGTGGATATCTTTAATATCTGTTCTGTCTTGGTGGACACTGAGAGTGTGATAGGAGAAAGATTTGCCAGTCAGCAAATCTGATTAATACCATGAGTATCCACATGGGAACATGTGAAATTTTATTGATCTCTAGCACTAGAAGTCTTCAAAATAGATTTAGCAACATGGGAAAAGACCTAGGCAGGCTGATCCAGCATTTGAACTGACAGATGGATTAGATGAACTCTGTTAAGCTCTGCTCTAGGATGTGCTGCTCTTCTGTCCATAGCAATGGTCCTTCTTTCCTCTGCCCGTTGATGCTCTTTGTGCTTTCTTTTGAGAAATGATCATAGTTCTTTATTCTATGTTATCCCTGTTGGGCTGTCATAGTGAAAGAAGTATAGTTTTACCATTAGTTAACCCAGAAAGAGTTATTCTTTTTAGACTTCCTCCTATCCTTTAGGACCTGGCTAAAAATTTTTATTCTGTATATAAACTGTGAAGATTCCTGACATTATGGTATGAGAATGCCTAACAGTCATAAAACCATTACAAATCAGGAAAATATGTTTCTCCTTCATGATTCAGAATGCAGTTTGGCCACGAATTTACTTTGATGTGCCTCACTCAACAGCAATCCCATAATAGAGGTGTGCTGAGGACCACTGAGGCACAAAGAGATTTAGGCAAAAGGCAAAAAATTTAATTTGGGGGTCTGGTTACATATGACAGATGCAGTTTGAAAAGGAGTGGCAAGCAGATGGCAAACGCGAGTTTTATTCACAACAGTGTTCCAAGCATGGCTTCAGGCAAAGCCTGTGTCTCAGATTCCCTGTCTGTATTGTGAACTATGGGCACTGGGTACCAGTACAGCTGCGAATCAGCCCCATATCTGGAATAGGTGATCCTATTTCCACCAGTGCCATAAACACTTGGGTTGATGGAGGACTTAAGTGGAACTTCAGGTGCATCACACTTCTCATTTCCCCTTGATCCTTTGCACATTCATCTCCGCTGAAAACCACCTTTACCTTTGCACACCTTGGACAAGATGATCATACTTGTGACACTTCATACTCTTCATTTTGGCTTTTCCTTCCTTTTGCCTAAACCCAACCCATTCAAATAATGCCATATGTCATCCTCTCACATCCAACTTGCCACTTGCCCCACGTACCCCCACCCCAATCCTCACTGCAAGTAGAAACACGACATCATTTTTCATGTCCAATTACAGCCACTGTGGTGCCACTGTTAAAAGACAGCGCAGGTAGTCCTGTCAAAAAGGGTTTGAGTTACAAGAAGCGATGAATTACAGCAAGCCCTTTTTCAATTCTCCACAGAAATGAAATGTCAGAGCTTGCTGCTGTATTTTTCTCAGCACCATCAGCTACAGGCCACTGCAGGAATTAGACAGGGGACAGACGCTTTTCTGCATCATGATTTTTCTTTTCCTAAGGTTGTTGTTTTCTCCCCCACCAACCTTTTTCTGCTCCCTTTGGCTTTGATATTAATTTAGAACAGATAGAAGGATCACCTAGGATAGAAGAGTAGGAAGCAGAGACAGCTGATTTCTCACTGTCTCCATCCTTCTTTCTCTCACTGTTCCTACTACCCTTTCCTTTCTTGTCTCACTCACTTCTTTATTAGTCATTAATATGTTTGGTGTTTTGAGCCAGGACTAAGTCTCTACCAAGCTTGAAACTGGACAAATGCAAAGATAAATGAAGAAGAAAGGGGAAAAGAAATTAAAAAGGATGGAGACACCCTGAATAGCTTCAAGTGTGATCTGAGATATGAAGGAAAATTGAGAAGGGGAGGAGGCTACTCAAGATCACTGAAATGCCACTAATGGTTAGGAAGATCATGTCCAAGGCAGAATAGAGCTGTGTTGGAGATAATCTGCTGGTTGTGCTTAAGGAAGTAATCCCTTCAGGAGACAAAATATGATTCAATCTTGTATGATCTATAAGAACATCTATCTAATAATAGTTTTTTCATTTAAGAAATTTGAATACTCCCTGAGAACAGATTGGAGGGGTTGATTAAGGCTTTGTATCAAAAACTGTGAGGAAAGGTATTGTATTGTCCATGTTTCTTGAAGTTCCCGGAAAGCCACTCTGGTACAGTGTAGAACATAGAGGTGTTAACCTCTGAC